TACTCTCTCTCTCTCTCTCTCTCTCTCTCTCTCTCTCTCTCTCTCTCTCTCTCTCTTTCTCTCTTTCTACAACGACCGTATTTAATCATAGTTACAATAACAATCGTCCATTTGATTTGTTCGCTCGCCTCCTCCATCCGCACAGATGCAACAATCAAAGTGCATTCTCCAAGCTGCACGGATTATCGCAAATGGTGACGAGGGATGCACCGAGTTGTGTCACCGTATTATCCTTCGAGGACCGTGTAATTATTCGCAGTGCAATGTAAAAGTCCGACAAACCGACCAAAAATACCAGATTGCAATCAGATAAACGACGAGACCATTTAAAATTCAAATTAGTTTTAGTAAAAAGTTACTGCGCGCGGTACAAAAATTCGTTGATCAATTTTATTCGAGATCTCGTTGATTGGCCGTTGAAAATTTTTCAGCAGTCAACGAGTCAGCTTCTTACGACGATTGTGACAACAGAGAGAACTGGTCCCTGAAAGGTTACGACAAGATACTGACAGAACTCGATCGGTCCATGACACAAGAAAAATGTACAAAAATCGTACGTATCGACGAGAATGTCCGGCAACCGCGCCAAGAGCAAGACGGCGAATCGCACTTCGTCCTTTCCGAAGATTGCTCATTGTCGAATTAATCGAACACTACGAGTTTGATTGACGTGCTTCCCTTATATACATTAACATATACGTCGTACATGCCGCATGCACGCGTCTCTTGATGCCCGTGTACTCAAACATATTTGTATTCTATGTACGTATTATCTACGGCCTCGTCTTCGTAGTGTCGCGCACAACTTTTCTTAACTTACTCGACATTATCTCGCAATAAACTTGAAGTTCTAAACGCGGATGTCTTAATATTATGGCATGACTAGATTTTCTTAATCCCTTCCGAGACTTGCTTTTTTTTTTTTCTTCACACAAGATCAAAGTTATCGTTGATGTGTATACGGAAGTATGTAACAATAAATTCGGAGAACAACTTTCTTCACGCTCAAATAAACTAGGGAGTGGAAGTAACGTCATCACAGAGGTCCGAATATAAAAAAGTATTGTATATTTAACTATTTAGAGTGACGTTTGTCGGCGGGAGAGAAAGGGCCAAACGATTCTTTTTCCGCCCGAGACGTCACTAAAAATGTCTTGGTAAAAGTTACAAAAATGTATTTCCTCTTTTTTTTTCCGGAGTATGTAAAGTTGATCTCAATTAGACCCTTTATGCGGTCTTAGGTCTGCGGAATGGCAGTGTCGTGGAAGTATTGGAAGCTCGCGGTGCAGTTGGATGCACGCGTGTTTTAATTAATTCTAATGGCGATTTCGTAATACTTTCGAGTTTCAGTCTGAAGAGGAGTTTCGCTGGATACGACTTATTGCATAATAGTAAGATTGGTCGCGTTGGATCACAAAGTCTCGAAGGTGCACGACATTAGAAGAGAGATTGGAGAAGGAGCCTCATTCGCTGTGGCTCTCTCTCTCAAGCGTTTCGGCCGACATTTTTACAGCGAGCGGGAAACAAGATCGCCTTATCTACGATCAGCCTCACGCTCGGTTCCTCCGATCGTAACGCGCTCCGCGTACAGGAAAACGTTCTACATAGAAGTCTTAGGATTTATAACGGACTTAAAGTAATCAACGGTGCTATATTCGTACGTATATAAACTTTACAATGCAACAGAGCCCAACCGTCAACGATCCGTTTTTTGGAGACTTAGAAATCGGTCTCTTCTCCTTTCCGATCCGTTCTCGTCCCGTTTTCAAAAACAATATGCGCTTATCGCAACACAAACGAGCTTGATTTCCATAGCGATCAAAGCTTCAAATTGCTTTGTATATTTACGGAAAATAAAAAAAAATTATCTCATTAATCACGTTAGTGACAAAGAAAATATAGCTACGTTTTCCTAAAAAAATTAAATTATAAAATTATATAATAAATTATAAATTAATAAATAAAAGCGATAATAAATTAAGAAGAATGAACGTCATAGATAATCAATGACTTTCAATATTACATCAAATATACTTGTCATAAGTAAATTAAAATTTCTTATGTATAATTGTCATAATATTATGTATACATAGAATAAATATATGTTTAATTTGCAAAATTCTATAAAACAGAAATGATTCAAGAGATTTAAGAGATTACAAAGCGTAGAATTGATTGAATGGAAAGAAACCTTTCAGATAGAAGCAGATGTAGCCGGTGCCGTCTCTCTTGTTCATGATACACGAAATACTCTCCCGTGCTCTGTTCGTACGATTAAGTCTTTGGTCTCAAATGGATCGTCCGCCGGCGAAACGACTCGCAGCGGTCTGAGCAAATTGTCGTTTTGGCACGCATTCGTACACGCGATTCGACGATCATCCACGCACTCGGACTTGGACTCACTCACTTCACGCATTTCACGTGTATTATCTCGCGTCACGTCACAGACAAGGAAGAGGAGACGCACGTACTTATAGATACTTTCGACTATCTCTCTCGGCTCGATTAACGAAGAAACACGTTCATAGAAGAACAATTTTATAGTAACGCGCCCCATCATGTAGCAACAAGTACATTAAGCTAATGCGTTTGGAGTACAAAAAAATTTCTTTATATCTGATCTATAATGCGATAGCGTAGTTTTAAAGGTTTAAACGTTTAAGATTTTTCACGTGGCAAGAAATGATTTTCTCCCTTTCGACTTGTTACACACACACACACACACACACACACACACACACACACACACACACACACATACGTTCTTCTATACTCGTCCATCTTCGTTGCCTCGATTTTTTTCCGCCATTTTATTTATGCACACCTCTCCCTCGATCGTCGTTAACGAATAGAACGTAATTTATTTCTATCGTCAGAAGACGTGGCAGTCGAGTGGCCCTACGAATGGCCACGAAGGAATTCTCGACGAGACACAAAGGGAAGAGATCAATTTACCTAATCTTTGGCCCACGGGATTAAGAGAAAAGGGGAGCTACCGTGGGGGTTGCGATACCCGGGAAAACAAATTAGACGGCAATGGAGTAATCCGAGGAGGGATTATTCTGAGTGCTCGGACGTGACCACAGGGAACTCCGCAGGCCCAGTTTTAGCTTCTTCAGGGAGTCGATGTCGCACTCGGCCTCGCTGAGCTCCGGCCGATCCCCGTTCCCCGGGGTTGGTACAACCGCCCCCTGATTGCCGACGAATGCGGTCTCCGCGACCGAGATCGGTGGCAGTAGAGTACGTAGGGAGCTCCTGCTGGGAACATGCCATCTTACGAGATAGCCAAAGGAAAGAGACTTATTAGTGGATATTACGAATGAACGTATTGTGGTGGAATAATGGAATGTTCGAGTATTACAAGTGCCTAATTAATTTAACATAATGATCTTTAATAGAAATAGTTTCTTTTGTGTTAATCTTAGATATTTGATTAAATAAAATCTCATAATTTTTAACATTCGATTAAATAAAACAAATATTCACTTTCGCAAGATTCAAAATCACTTAAACATTTTTTGTATATTTTGACATTGAAATTATGATGAAAAAAATTAATAATAATAATCAAGAAAATTTTTTTGTTGTTTCATTACCTTGATCGCCCTCTCCGTGGCAGTGACTTCTGTTCTGACATGGGAGAAATGTCCGAAGACGTGCTCGACGTGCCGTGATAGATAAAGTCCGAAACTGCGCGAACTAAAATAATAATTTGTTAAAAGATTGATGAGGAGTCGAATGTCTTAATAAACCTCAGATCAGAACGTACTATGTTTTAATTTTCCAGCGTCCAGCTGATTCGACGACTCCGTGCGCGAGCTTATCAGTTGATCCGGGTCAGATTCGCTCTCGTCGCTCTCGACATCGCCTGGGGTTTGTTGCTTTCTCTGCTGTCGCCTTCTCGACGAGACACTCTTCATGCTCTGTGCAAATGAGATCTTTGTGAATAATTCATAACAAAATTATTCTCGATAGCAATTTGCATTTTTAATCAACAATTGCATTTCTATATTTCTGTGAGTTAAATGTTTAATATAATTTAAAATATTTTAATTCGCATTTTTAATTAACAATTGCATTTTTATGTGAATTAAATGCTTAATGTAATTTAAAATATTTTAAAATTAGATCGAGCAATTAATAATTTTAATGAAAGAAAGAGATAAATTTGGAGTATATACCGTCGCCGCCGGTGGAGGACTCGCGCACCCTTCGGTCATGGCGTGCTCGTGATACATGAAGCTGTGTAGAAGAGTGTTGTTCGGGTGAAGACCGGCCGCCGTGGCCTCCGCCGCGCCTCCCAGACCGCCCAATGCGCCCAACCCTGCCAGGCTTCCCCCGCCACCCTCCGAAAGCTGGAACGTAGCGTACGGCGAAATGTCCTCCGCTGTCTCTGTAACCCATCAGAGGCATTGCCTACCTTTCAAATCGCGTCGGGTTAACTGTCTCAGTCGTCCATGTTTCGGGCGAATGTTCACGAACGAAAACGTATACGAAATTCAATTTGCTTTAACTTTCGATATGATCATTATTTCTTAGACAAATTTATGATTATGTTTTATATTTAGAGACTGATTTAAAAACTTAGAAAATTTTTTAATTAAGATTAATTAATTCCACAGAGTTTAGATATTTAACATGTGATATTTTTAAAAAATATTTTTCTTTAAAATTTTACTTTTTTAGAAGTAGCCTTGTGTCACTGTTGAGCGGCGCTAAAAGCGCCCGGCTCGTACCTGCACAACAGTAATTATAGTACCAAACCTGGTGGTTGTCCATATCGTAACAAAGGTTCACCTGGAATCTTGTCGGGCCCTGCACCCGTATTCGCCGCTTGTTGCAAAGCCACTTTATGTATCGTGGCATAATAACGCTCTCGTTGCGTCTCTGCGTTTTGTTGATTCTCTTGTGACTCCTTCATCGGCCGTTGCATTTGACCCCCCAAGTATCCTGGCAAACGCACCCTTCTATTAAACCTTCTAATTTTTTCAATAAATTATAAAAATATTTAAAACTTCATTGCATTAGAAAAATAATTGTGTCAAACATAAAATGAAAATAATAAAAAAAAATATGAACAAAAGAATATTTTCATGGGAAAAAGCTGAGAGACAATGATTGCGGGTTCATAAAATTGTACTAACTGTTTTTCCAGCGAAAGGCAACGATTATCGTTGCGGCGACTAATGCAACAGTAGCCACGATCAACGGCAGCATTACTTTAACATCCGCATAAAACGGCATGGTCGATGTCATCCCACGTTTCGACAATCCTGGCGGCGGTATTTCTGCAAAGTTACAGGAACACAGTGCTTTTGGATATAAGCTTTTAAACATAGTTTCATCGGACAGATTGGGGCAGATGCATCTTTGATCATCGTTATCTTCCGATGAAAATCTTGCGCTATATTAAATTTTCATGCAAATTTACAATTATTATCTCACTGTGATCTATCTTCACACTTACCACCCTCTTTCGTCAAGGTTACAAAGGTGAACTCTGCTTGATTGCTGCCGGCCACGTTATGGGCCTCGACTTTAAGCTGATAGACTGAGCTGGGTGTTAGATTTGTCACGACGAATCGCCGTTGCATTTTAACGTTATTCGATACCAGGGTCCAGTGAAACTCGTTTATCGGCCTATACTGAATGACAAAATACTTTATGGGGCAACCGTTATCGGGCCAGACGTGCAATCGTAGCACCAGAGTAGTGGAATTCGGACTGAGAAAGGCAGCCGCCGGCGGGATTCCCGGAGCTTGTCCCTGAGTTCGAACTGAGAGCACCGGAGACGATGGACTGCTGCCGATTTTATTGTGCGACGTTAGATACAACTGATACGTATTGCCGCACAGAAGCCCCTATTTAAAAAAAATTACAATTTTTTTTGTCCGATTATTCTCGATCCATTTAATTTATAGACTAGACGGAAAGAATTAATTTTTAGTTGTCTAAGGTTTGCAGTTTTATTTTTAATAAAATAATTTTTGATTTATTGAGATATGTCCATGAATATAAATGTTAATTAAATCGTATTTTAATTATAATTATTATAATTATTTTATTAATATATCTGTTATATTAAGATGCAATAAAGCCTAATATCTGTATAATTTTATTCTGCTTAGAGTGATTGACATTTTTCCATCAAGAATTACAAATTAATCTCGGATAAATTTACCTTTAGTTCATGGCTAGTAGCGTGGCGAGATAACTGTAACTCATCAAGGGTACCATGAGTAGTTCGATAATACAGTGTATAGCCCGTCAAAGGCGCACCACCGTTATGCTCGGATTTCCAATGCAATAACACGCTGCTCGACGTAGAGCTGGTTACGTACAATACAGGAGCACTGGGCGGAACTGCGATAGTAAATTTTAGACTGTTGTGTATTTTAGACTACACCCAATATTCTGTTAGTTGCAAAATTCGAGTTTACGTAACAAGTTCGTTTAGCAATTATTCATTATTAAAATCTATTTAGCATCATAATCACGCAGCCATTACATAGCAATAGCTACGAGCAAGAGAGAGATAACGTTGTTTTAATAACATACAATGCACAATACTCTTTTGTATAAGATTCTCACTTTATTGGTAAGATATAAAACAATAAAAAAAGAGAATTAGCCATAATAATTACCTTGCACCGTGAGAGTGTAATGCAGTTTATCGCTGCCTTGGGAGTTCTCCACTTGACAGGTATAATTCCCGCTGTCTTGCGACTGCAGATTTGATAATACGAGTTCCCCGTTTGCCAAGATCTGCACGTTTCTGGTGGGATCGGTGCGTATCTGTTCCGTGGTACCCTTGTACCAGTCTCTCGTCGGATCTCCGACCGCGTTGCACGCCAGTGTCGCTGAACCACGCCACGGACGCACCACATGCCCGCCGAAGGACGTGATCCTGGCTGGCACTCGATTTGTCGGCACTTGCGCCGTTACCCTCGAACTCTGACCTTCGCCCATCCGGGTGCTACCAGTCACCCAGAATTGATATTCGACGTGTTGTTGCAGGTCGGTCGCCTCGAAAAATGTGCTCGTCGCCGGTAACGTCTTCTTGCCATGATTGAGCTCCTCTCGTCCGTCGACGACTCTATGGAATTTTTTTGTTATTTTCACAAACTTGATCAAAGAGGAATTTAATAAAAATATAATTCGTTATAAATATAACTTCGTTAAATTGCAAGAATATTAATTTTTTTATATATTTAGATATGACATCAACAAAGTGCAAGGATAAATGTAAATTTTTTTATAAGTAAAAATTTTTGTTTATTTATGTTTTTTATTACCTTGTATAAAGATTGTATTTCGTAATAATTCCATTTGGTTCGAGTGGTGGTAGCCATGAGATGAAGAGAGCTTGCGGCGAACTTACGACGACCTTGATATCAGCCGGACTGCCCGGTACTAAATAAAGAAACGAAAAAATATTTATATTGAAATCATGTCTAAAAAAAATATTAGTTATAGTGTCTAAAAAGATTAGTCTAAGATATCAAGTCTATCACCGTCTTCCTCCGTCTGGCAATAAATCGTTGCAGAGGGCACACCGTCGCCAATTCTGGTATAAGCCAAAACTTGGATAGTGTAATTAGTGTATCGTCTGAGTCCAGTTAAAACTGTTGTCAGAGCGCTCGTTTTACGGACCTATAATCACGAAATTAAGATCATTAATTAAGATCAGAAAAATGTACGGAACAGACGATTAATTTCTTAAGATAATAACCTCCATTTCGTCCACCCCTCGCCACGCGTCTGCCAAAATCGGTTCATAATTCAATTTGTAACCTTGGATAATGCCATTGCTGTGTGAATTAGGCGGGGGTTGCCAGGATACTTGCAAAGACTGTGACGTGAGTGCAGCACATCTCACATCATCCGGTGGCATACTGGGTACTGTAAATAATTATTTTTAAACAATTGTTATGCTTCAGAAATCCATTTAAACAATGGAAAAGAACAATTAAAATAAAATAAATAAATTTAGAAAAAAAATTTAGAATAAAATAAATAAAGGTCTTAAAACTTTAGTAATCACCGTCTTCCAAGGTCTGCGTGATCAACGGTTCGCATAGAGGTCCTGGTCCAACCTGATTGTAAGCTCTAACAACGAGGGTGTATCTGGTGTACGGCCTGAGACCTGTAAGTCGAAGTTCTCCACCGCCTTCTTCTCCATCACCTGAGACAGAGCTGAAGTTGTACGCTGGATTATTCGAGCTGAAATAAAAATTTCATAATTATCCTTCTGTCAAGGAATTTATTTATACTTATAGATTTATTTATTTTTAAATATGATCAAATTGATCTAAATTTCATCTCAATCGATCTTTATATATTACAAATATGTTGCACGACTGATTATATCTGTATTCCTTATAAAAAAATAGTATTGTATATTTTATTTAGGGATTAAAGTCCTTTGCAACAGCTACCTTGTTTCTTTATAGCCGACGTTGAAACCTTGTATGTCACCATGACGAAGTTCCGGTAGTGGTGGTGACCAAGTGACGAGAATTTCGGATGAGGAGAGAGGCCTAGCCGCGATGTTCATCGGCGGACCAGCTGGTTTCTGCGGTTCGGTTCTAATGATGAGCTCCGCCGAGGGAACAGATCGGCCCGCTGGACCTTCCGCTATTACACGTATGGTGTATCTCGTGGCGGGTTTTAATTTATCGATCAATGCCGCGTATACCAAGGGTGGTCCGGCGTACTCTTGTTGCTGCCACATTCCACCTAGAAGTTTTTGACATCAGAATTTTACTTAAATGTATTTTATATTATCGTAAATTGATGAGTCCTTCTTTAAAATAATCGTGTAATAAGAAAGTAGTTTCGAAAAGTTTATTGAAAAATTAATTTATATCTGAATTTATTAAGTCAATCAATCTTATAAATTATTATTTCTTATATACATGCGCGGTATTGCAATGTTTAAGAACGGATTTTTATGTTACTCCGATATTACATCTGTTTGACGAAAAAAAAGTTTTTGCCAATTTACCTTCGCCCTCTTTGTATTGGACAATGTACTTGTTGACCTCGCTGGTGTCCTGTGACTTATGTTGCCACTTAACGTTAATGCTGCGACTCGCCACCATGGCAGTTTCTAGGGCGCTCGGTGGTTGGGGTGGCTCTAAAACGCGCGGAATTCGATATTAATGCACTCGTGTGCCGATATATATGCATATAGCGCAAGAGTATCGCATTTGGAATTCAATTATTCTATATCAGAGCGAATTGACCTACAAACCCTCATATCGTACCTTGAACGAGGAGTTGCACCAGCTGCTGATCACGACCGTAAAGATTGTTCGCTTGGCAAAAGTACGCACCGCTGTCGACGGCTTCCGCCGATGAGATTTGCAGTTGCGCGATGACACCGTCTGGCGTTACTTCCTGTTTCACCGCGACGCTTTATAGCGAATTTATAAAAGTTCATTAAAAGTTCTGTGAGAGAGGCACAACTGTGGAATATTCATGTAGTATCGTATCAGAAGTGGTATGCCAATATTTTTGATACAAAACTCTCTCCCTTTAAACAATAGCCATTCCGGTATTCGCTTGCTAATAAATGAACGGACGAACGGATTATATTTGGCGGCCTTTTAACCGGATATATATGGCGCTTCTGCACATTTTTCAAGTAGACGCATTTCACATATGCCTCTGTATATTCCCTATTATCAGCCCGGAATGCATTATTAATACCGTCGCATCTCATTTGCTAAATTCCGTTCGATACGATCGATTTATCGGGACTGTAGCATGCCACTCGCGATAAATGTTCCATATTCGAACGACACGATAATTTAGCGAAAATCGTAAGCCGGGCGCGGAGATTTTGTGCCGTTTTAATTCATCACGAGTATCGATTTTCGCACGCCCGGCCAAAGTCCGTTTTCCCCGTCTACGATTCTACGTACGATTAATCTCGACTTACCGGTAATTCGTTGAGGGATTCAGCTCGCTTTTACCGCCTTTCAGCCAGGTAACAGTAACCGGCTTATCCCCGTGTACTTCGCAGTGTAACGTCGCTGTATCCCCTTTCTTTACGGTAACAAGTCGCGACGGCGCCGCAAAATACGGGGATGCTACAAAGTCACGAAGGCAACATGGAAAAGCGTAAGTCCGATAATAAGATTTCAACATTTAGTATTAAACGCTTGTATTGTTGGCGTTGCGTAGCGCGAAATATTTAATTGTAAAATGTATATCGCGTGTAATTGCGCGATTGTACTCACAATTGACCTTTAGTTGCACGACTTTGCCTAATCCGCTTCCTATGCCATTACTCGCGTGACACAGGTAGAAGCCCTCCCGATCTTCTTTCACGTGCTGCAGCAACAGAGTACCGTTACTGAGAATCTTGGTATATGTTCTTTCACGCAACTCCTCGTAATCACCGGCTTTGCTTCCTATTAACAAGTGACGCGTAAGAAAGTTAGTCAAACCGATCGATGCTCGATGTAAAATCGTAATCCTATTCCTATCACATTTCCCCGACTCCCGGAAAGAAGTGATTTTACAAATATTATAAAAAAATATTTTATTTTAATTTGTTAAATAAAAATGTTATAAATAATGTTAAAATTTTCACAGCTTTTACGTCTCTGCAGTAAAAAAGTTTTAAAATAATATCTGGAATTTTAATAATTTTATTATTATGGATCCAAGGATCAAACTTAATTTAAAAATTAATTTAAAAATTAAATTTGATTCTTGAATTTATAATAAAAATAAAATTATTAAAGTTCCAAATATCAATTTTAATAGGATATATTTAATAAAATAGAATATCTTAATATTTAAAAAATACCGTATTACAACGATTTAAATTTTCAAATTAATAATTCAAGGCTTAATAATTTCCATTTTAGTTATATATTATTATTTTAACTCAACGTATTAATAAATAAATATAGACGTTCCGCGAGATATGTGTGTACACGGGATATGTATGTGCACTAGGATCGTATAGCCTTCGCAATCGTCTCACCGGTGGCTTTTTTCCATACGATCATCGGCGTCGGGACGCCCTGCGCCTGGCAGTGCAGCGCGACGTGGCGATTCCTCTCGACGCTCACGTCAGTTGGCTCGACGATCCATCTGGGCGGCACTGCAACGTGTCAGAAAGATTCGCTTTACACAGATCCGTTATACGTGTGCCAACGTTTAACTTATTATGTCTTGCTTTACTGGTCGTTAGCGATTTAGAGACAGGTACGTTTTTATGATAGAGAGAAAGAGACAGAGAGAAAGAGATAGATAGATAGATAGATAGATAGATAGATAGATAGATAGATAGATAGATAGAGAGAGAGAGAGAGAGAGAGAGCCATAAAAAAACGCGGCGCAAACGAAAGGGAGCTACGGTGTCGCTTCAACGAGATCGAATCGTCAAAGAGATCGAATCTCAAACGAACTGATAAAAGACGGCGCGATAAAGAGACGGAGAAAGAGAAAAAGTGATGTGACCGAGAGATGGACCCGCGCTACGGTGAAGCCACGATCGCTCTCGTTTGATCTTCCCTCTCTTTGAAATGTATGCTCTTTACTCCCGCACGATATTTCGCGTTACTCGAATCTCCGCGCTTGACGGAACGCGGATATTCGCGCGACATGAAGAAACTGATAAAGTCACTGAGAGAAGATAGAGTGAGAATGAGGGTAAGTTATGTGGACAGGACAGAGTTGGAGAGAATCATAGGGGGTCATGAATCGATGCGAGGCGTATTTCGCGGGTGTCAATTGATATATAAAGTCTCGTGTCATTCGCACGCCAGGCAGCAGCAGACAATTCACCTCTATGTTCAACACCGCAACAGGGTAACAAGGAAAGTGACAAGGGCGGGGGCAATCGATCATCTATTATCTGCAACGTTAACTCTCCTAGGAGCTACCAACAAGGACAACGAAACGAAGGCGTCTCTAACGATAGCGCGCGACAATAGTACGTATAACAGCTCTTAGCTCGTGAGAGGAAAAAAAGGAAAAAAAACAGAGAGAGAGAAAGAGAGAGAAAGAGAGAGAGAGAGACAGACGGATGCTTGGTCGTCAAAGTTTCTCGATCCGGCGCGAGATTTTGCGTCGCGCATCGATTTGTCGACAAAGTCTCAAAGGTGGGGGGGGGGGTGGTTCTTGTACAATCAGGTGTATTGTTTGGCAAGGTTCTACTTTTTACTGTGGTGAAAAAAACGCTGCACAAGCGAGATACTGTGAGTGGGAGTTTCCAACGTTTTACAAGACGGCAAAGTATCGGCCACGCATCGATCGCGTGCGACAATATATAATATATATATATATAGATAGATAGATAGATATATATATAGATGTATATGTATATAATATATGTAACGTGAGTATACAAATATACTCGAGCCCAAACGATGGCATGTGAAACAAGTAGAACTCTTGGAAAGAGGTACGCAAGGACGGGACATGTTCAGGTGCGGATCTCGTGAGGATGGCGAATAATAATAATAATAATAATGATAACAATAATAACAATATATATGTAAGTACCCGCGTCTAACGACTAGTCCAATAAAGTACGAATTTAATTAATAATATATACGTACTACTAGCCTACATTTTTTACAGTCGCTAACGAGACGGAGGACGCACGCTCGGGCTAATCTTACGAGTTCAAGCTCTTGCATGGAGTACCGAATGTTTAAAAAATTTCAGATTCTGATGGCCGGTGATAAATTTAGAGTTTTTCTTTTTATTTTGCTCGAATTTTTATTGTGTAGAATAATTATTACGTTCCTTTTACGCGAAGGAGAGCTTGCGGACGTATTACGTGAGCGTCCGACATCCTCATCTCGTTGCGATGAAAGAAATATAAAAAAGAGAAAATGGACGGACAGAGAGAAAGAGAAAGAGAGAGATAGAAAGATAGTGAGATAGAAAGAGTGAAAGAGTTGGTGAGAAAGCATGCAGAAGTGAATAAAGGTTGCCTTCCAACGAGCCCAAAGAAGAGCCAGCGCAAAGGTCGGTGAAGATTGGTCGTGAGCGTAGTGGCACGTGCTCGCACTTGGGTGATCAAGATACTTTTATATATATTTATTTAAGTAATAATTCAATAAACACACAAATACATACGGAGATATATATATTTACACGTAAAATGTGCAGGCAGTAGTGATCTACGACTACATAAAGAGATCATGCCGAATGAAGTATTGAATGCTCACATACACGCACGCACGCAGGCCAGAAAAATCTTTTTTTTTTTTTATTGTCATTTATTGTAGCTGCAGTTGTTGCTGTTGTTGTTGTAGTTGTTGTTGTTGAAACGAGTAAAAAATAAGGAAAGGTGCAAACTGTTACCTTTATTATTCGGTCAAGTCAAGCAAACCTCGGGGGTCCACGAGATACCGACGCATTCCCAGAGAGCCAAAGCAACGCAAATGTAATACACACTGTGTCTGGGGTAAGAAGGAGTCTCGAATGGATCTTCGGGATGGACTCGATAGGACGGGGATGAGGTGGAAGAGATGAGAACAGGAGGATGGGTGCATAATGATCTCGTGATCTCGCCCGGGGGTGAACGTGCTGTCACTCGAAATCTCGATCGTATCGTCTTTAAGCCTGGAGCCAACGTGGAGTGCAGTCTCTCTAAATGTCACATCCTGGCGAGAACACAGCTGTGATGAACTATGGTGAAGCAGGAACCGAGTCAATAAGCGCGATGATATGTCGATGGCGGTGGATGATGAAATGGCGGCTGAGACTGGAGAACGGGCGATAGGAAGCGATGGAATGGATGTTCCGAGGATAACGTTCGACCCCGACAAATCTCGGAATATTCCGCAATATTGCAAACATCTAACATCGCAGATTATTGAAAATTCACACTTAACGCACTTTTTAACTTCGGATAAATACTTTACAACGATAATTCTCAGACCAAAAAGATTTTCAATATATATATATATATATATATATATATATATATATATATTAGTATA